GAATTATTGGATAACTTTGTAATATGCAGCGATAATTATCCAATAATGAAATAATCAAAAAATTCCTCGCGTCAATTCTTTAATGATAGTTTATTTCGTTTCGATCACGAATTGTTTGAAGCATCGAAAGTGGTCTTGGAATAATTGACAATTGATCGGAATATTGCATAATTATGGTCTTCAATTGATGGTTGGGTAAATAATTGAAAATCTCTCCATAGAAATGATTCATTGACTAAATAATTGATTTTTTTCTAATCCGAAATTCATCATCATCAGGGTTAATCAGAAATTCCCAGATTCAATTAATTCCTCTTTGAATAATTGATAAAAAAATCAAACAGGATTAACAGTTGATACATTAATCGGTTAATTTTTCATTCTGATTAATAATTTACTAATTCATTGATAGTCGTTGATGGGTGATTATTTATTTATCAAAAAAAAGGGGTCAGCATTGATACCAATTGTCGATTAGTAAAACAATTGTCGATTAGTAAAACCAAATAAAAATTAACATTTTTTGTTTAGGAGCAAACGAAAAGGCACATTACGGCACGAGGTGAATGTAGCAACAGTGTCAAAATAATATTTTTCGTCATATATTTTCCCTGAAAGGAGTATTTTTCGCCGGGAAAATTAGTTTCGATTAAGTGATGAAGGATATTTTTGTTGTCCCGATGTTCGTGAGCGGCTTTTTAGCACGCGCGGCATGTGCGTAAAACGAGGTTTCACGAATCGATCACGAATTGATCACTTTTGTGATCGATATAAATTTATATTTAATCATCACTTCAATGATTGAAAAAAACTGTTCTGTTTTTTGTAATTAACAATGGAACCGAATTAATGATGTATGAATTAAGGGGTCTCCTCAGTAGGGCAAAACGGGGATAGGCGCGCGGGTGAGTGGAGCGTAAAATGGTTAAGTAAGTGAGGTTATTTTCGAGAGAGACGAAACATCAAACATGGCGTGCGTTGGATAGTGACAGATATCACGCCAATTATTTTTATGGTTAATTTATTCAACAAATTACTGCCAAAAATCGATGAGACTTCATTCCCTTATTTTTGAGAGTTTAATATAAATAAATATAGCTTAAATAAATAAATATAGGAAAAGGGGCGTTGACACATCTCTCAGGAACACATCTACACGCAAATGCTGTCGCCAAACAAACTTGTTTCACGTCGTTGTCCTCCTCCTTCTACGTTGACATTTTCGCTTAACTGAAAAAGGAGAATCATTGTTGAACATGACCATTTCATTTAAATACGTGATTTTTATAAAGTATGTTTCTCTGTTGTTACCTCCGTATTCTTCATCCTTTTCTGCAGACAAGGATTTCAATTCCATTTTTGATGCTCGCTTAAACATTTCTGTAGGGAATAATAATAACGATGGCATGCAACTACCAGATGAAATAAAAACACATTGACTTCCACTAAAATAAAAGTATATTTAAAATGAAAGTTAAATGTCACACAAAATCCAGACACATCTTATCTGCATGATGGTTGGTTAAAAAACTAAACTTAAGACTAAGTTTTGGGCACTTCGACTCTGGGCCCGAGCTTACCCCCCACTACAACACCCACTCCTACGCATACCCAAAATGGCAACATTTTTGGGGGAGGCAAACTCTTAATTTCCCTGCGTGAAATTCCCCTGCATTTCCCCACACGTGCGCGCCAGACTGTCGCCAAAAGGTCTATCCCCAATAAAACCCTCAATAAACCTTACCTAGGCCGTCAGTCTATTACCCTCGGCAAAAAAGGGGTCTTGGCCGAGGGTTTGCTTAAATTTCTTAATTGCTACGATGGGATTTTTCCCGCCCCTACATTTCTCCTATAGAAATTGATAATTTTCAAAATGCTCTATGGGGAATCCAAAATTCCAATATGATTTAACAGTTAAATTCTAACTAACTTGTAACATTGTCCCGCAAACTGATACGTTGTTCTTCATCAATTCTCTTCGATTGCTCTTCGGGTAGACATTGCTTCAGAAATGTATATATTTCATCTAGAGTAATTCTGTAATGAGATGGATAGATATTAATGGATTGGATTCAACCGTAGTCAATCCACGGATATTAATACAATTGTTGATGCATACTCTTGTTTAGATACATTTTTTTGTGCCACTAAAAGACACATGTCCCGATTAAACCTTATCTCCATGAGCTTGGTCTTCACAATCGGTAGCCCATTCTTCATTCGTGTCATATTCGTCACTTCATCTCGCAGTATCTCTTGCAAGTTTCCTAGAATTCAAGATGCAATTCTCCTATGAGATTCTCGACATGGGAATTATATCAGGATTGTTTATCCAAATGTCAATGTTTCATACGTACGAATGAATGAGAAGACGGGAGGGGATTTACCTCCGGCTCGAGGTGTGAATTGTCGATTGTAAGCCTCGGAATCATTGTTGGTGCGAATGCAACAATTATGCACCGACACAATTTCTGGAATTCGTCCCCATTGATTATTTACATAATCCGCCCAATGACGAAGATCAGGAAATAATTTCTCATAATAAGAGCATTTTTGAAAAATTATTTTGATTCCTTTTTCAACATGATAATGTGGCAGTAGTGGAAGGGAACGCAATAGGTATTTTGGCTCTCGTGGGGCATCATGTAGATCATATTTTTCAAGCAGCTTCTTCCAGTGTTCAGATGATGCCTATAATTACGAAATTAGTATTAAACATTCTTTCCATCTGGTGGAAAACAGTTGAAAGCTCCAATCTAACTTACTTTGATGAAATGAAACCAACACCCCATCAGCCTTGCCAAAGGTAGAACATTTGCGAAAGCTTTAAGGGCTGCTCTCTCAAAATCACTGACGATCAATTTAACATTCTTTAAGCCTGGTACTATTTTCAATAAGCTACATAATATGGCTTCGTATAACACAGCAGTAGCCCGTCGGCATACCGCAAAAACAGCAGCAAATGACTGGGCAAGTTGATGAAAAAATTAATGATTCCTACTTATAAAATCAATAGGCTCTCGTATTCTTACCTTGTCGTTTTTCCGGAAGCTAATAATCCATATCTGACTCGCCTGTGGAATGTCCGGGGTCGCCTTTAAAATTAAATTTTTTCCTATCATACTAACAGAAACCTCGCTTTGTTCGATTGATTTTTGAAGGAGAATGAATTTCACTGCACGGATGGCGAAATCAAAATCTATTTCACCCTATGATGGTGGACAATGGCATTCAAAGAGTATTCACGAAAAAAAAATTAATAAAAAAATAGTAACGGAGAATCGCACCGGAAAGAATATTAAATAGTATGAATAGAACTCAGTTGAGTCTGCAGATTGAACACCTCTTTACATGCCATTGAATGGCAAACCGCAAAAATTATTTGAAAAATTGACTTTGTCAATTGAACCGTCAGTAAACTGTCCACAGGACAGTTTGGAAAAACCACTGGAGGGATTCACTTCAAAATGAAATCAGGTCTAAATTACATGAAGACCTTCCGATTGTGTTATCGATCATCTTGATCGCACAATTCATTCGGAAGAAATTGTCACATCCACACAATAGGTATTTCGTTCAGATGGGTTTAAAAAAGTTTTAAACACCCTAAAACATGGAGAAATAGTAAAAAAATCTAATGATTCATTTTCGAGTTGATTACAGTAACTACTCGGTAGATTGGGAAGTTGTAAATGGTTGATTTTAATGGGCGATTAACTGAATAATCAAATAATCAATGGTTGAAATTATTCATTGATCAGTTTACTAATCATAATAATAAATAATTAATTGTTGAAATAACCAATTAATATGATATTTAATAACTTTGTAATTGAATGAACAATTATCAAAGTAATTAGGAAGTGTCCGTTATTAATTATTTTTGGATTGAAGAATCGATCATTTTTTTGTGATGGTTGAGGATTGATCCGACAATCAGATAATTGGCCATCCTGATTAATGATTATTTGATCAACAAATTAATTTGCGGTTCTTATTCATGTATGAAATGATAATAGTAATTACTCTAGGCCTGTCATTTGAGTTAATGAGGCAAACAATTATGCAGTTAGCTCCTATTAGGGTCCACGAGTTAGTTTTTACCTAAGAGTTCAGGTAGTACAGCCCTGGATATTTCACGAAAATGATCTTTCCAGTCTTATAGCGCCATCAGGTAACAGAAATTATTGCTGACAATTTTATTCTATAGGTAATAAATGTATTCGATTCCTGCAATACCGATGCTGGTTTATCGGCTTGGCGCGTTGTGGACACTTTGTCCTCGTGGACAGTTTCGCCCGTGCACTATTTCATTTGTGGACAGTTCTGCTGTGCACAGTAGCGCTCCGTGTACAGATCGGTGCCGTGTACAGTTCTGACTCGGCGGATGTATCTCCCCCCGCAATTTTTGTGCGAGCGAGGTGTTCCCAAGCGGTCACCCATCCAAGTACTAACCCAGCTCAACGCTGCTTAGCTTGGATGTCCACCGGAGCAACACCTCACCCACCTAACCATTACAGTCGGGATGTTCAAGTCGGGATGATCATTTACAAATTTCATGAAATTCACTATTCAGGCTTGCGATTATGAACTGATCATGGGATTTCAATACTCTTAGCTTATGATTAATTAGTTTGTTGTTTATTTACTCAGTTACGTGTCAATTGGATAATTACGAGTTTGGAATGTTGTGGCTGCTGAAGGTCTCACATCATTTTTCAGTTCATAATCACAATACAGATGGTGAATTTTTTTTTGTCATTAACGTGTCATCTGATCAGTCAGTGGTATGTCCGATCATTTTCTGATATTCCTGTCTGGGATGCTCATGTTATGGTAATCATTTTCGTTCGTTGTTTAAAAGAAAGAAAGCCCAATTATGTTTGAGAAATGAATACCTACAGTTTACAGGTACTATTACTTTCTAAACTCGACTCAAATATTTGGGTTAAGGACAAATCCAGTTCCAAAAAAATTGCAAATTGCGTGAAAAAAAAAGTTTTTGTTTGATAAAAATACAAGTTTGCCAATTTATGGATACAAATGTGCGTAAACATGTCAAATTCTAATTATGAATTTTTATTACAATTTCTATTGCGATTTTGAATGCGCCCATTCTGGAAATTCGTGAAGATTAAATACATAGGCTCCCCAGGTGCTGAAAGTTAAGAGAGTAACGAGAAGAGTAGAAAGGCTTGGTCCGATGCCTGCGATGATGAAGTCTTTTGCTTTAATGCGACTTGCCGCACTAGCGATGGCATTTGGTGGTGTTCCAACGGGAAGATGAAATGAGAATGAACAGCAGAGAGCGGCTGGTAGCATTAATTTCAAGGGATGAATTCGAATTGCGACGCACTGTAATAATGAAGAAAAGTTGGAATGACAGTTTTTGAATCCAATTGCTCCATATTTGATCCATTAACCCGTCAGTAGGTGCGCGGTTCCAGAAGCATTCTTGAGGCGCGCGGTTAGCGAATCTCTCATCGGCTTCTCGTAAGAATAGGGCTAAATATCGCCATAGACGGCGCTGTTCACGGTTCAGCGGCACGAGTCCTGGACCCGTAACATGTTGAAGATTTCGGCCAAGCCAAAGAAAATATTTGTTTTCTACTCAACCCTGACCGATAGACGACTTTTATCATCACGAGATCCAACTGGAAGAGTTAAGGTAGCGGAGGGAGTTTCCGATCAGTTAAGCTCGGCAGGCTCAGGTTAAGGTGAAAAATAAGAAAACAGCAAATCAAAACGGAGTGGAGCTTCATTTAAAGTGCGAAACAGACATTTAACAATAATTAAAAATACACTTTTGAGCTACAAATATCAAATAATTAATAAAAAATGACTATTAAGAAAATTCGGCCTTGGCGGTAGTTTATGATCACGATTTAGTCGCATGGGGTAGTTTCTGATCACGAGTGGAGGCAGTTTCTGACCATCGGGATAACCATTGGGATGAGGAGAATAATGAATTATTATTATTATTTTTTTTTAATTTTTTCTATTTCATTGGTTTTATCGAAGTAATTCTCGATTTGAAACCCCTCCTCTAGCCTGCCTCCCCTCCTTTCTTTTTCCTCTCATTATCTGCGGTATCATGGCCGTCTTACTCTTAGCTGTGCCCCATTCGAGCTAGGACTGCACGGGAAACCATGTAAAACCCCAGTCGCACAGCCGGCCGATTGTGCAGTGCCCTAATATATCCATCTGTCACACTGACTAGATGGAGACACTAGGCCGCTACACCGTGCCTACCGCCCGGAATTTTTGTGCGAGCGAGGTGTTCCTAAGCGGTCACCCATCCAAGTACTAACCCAGCTCAACGGTGCTTAGCTTGAATGTCCGCCGGAGCAACACCTCAACCACCTAACCATTACAGTCGGTGAATAATGAATTAATTTCCTACTTGTTTCATCTTTAACTGATCATTAAATTATTGCTTTTATTATTAATAAATAATCAGAGGTAGTTTTTGACCTCTGCGGTCAAGGTCTATAATGAAAGATAATAAATCATGAGTTTTATTTTTAGGATAAAGGAAGGAAAGAAATGAGTCAAATTTGACATTTCTGCTGATTTTTAATTTCTGTCGTCGACGAGTCATTTTACGAGAAAATGGCAAAAGCCCTTTTATGTGAATGATGGAATTTTCCACAAAAAATATTTATTGACATTTCCTCCTAAAATCACTCATTAGCGAAAAAATTTCACATTTATTCAGGAAAAATCAACTTGTGGCGTTCCACCATTTTTCGATACTATGTTCATCGCTACAATAACGATATGGACCAGCATGAGGGAAAGATAAGGTGAATATTTCCATTGATAGATTATCTAACTGACATTTTCTTAAAAAACTGTCAGTTGGCCTCAATCAATCCGAGATGACAACTCAATCCTCCGATCAACAAATGCCGATAGGTTAGAATTCAGGCAACAGTTCTTGATCACCACATTAATTATGGAAAACAATATTTTTATCTATTTCTTATTATTTCAAGTTATTCTTGTATGATTTAACTTGAGATTTATATCATATTTATGATCATTCGCTACTTACATGGTAAAATTTGAATGCTGAAGCTTCGGGTACACACTTAGCTCATTCCACAAGTAAACGGCGAAGATGGCCGTTTACCGCGTTCGCGCGCTTTTACCATTTATTTTCGACGGTTTACAGTGGTACCAATGCCATGATTCAGATGACTAACGAAAGAAAGGATTTTATTCTTTGCATTGTTGGTTTTACCTTCCTGATCAATTCAACTCAAACTTCACACTTAATAAATGAACAGCCGAGTGATCAAGTACTACCTACTGATTAGAAACTCCCTCCGCTACCTTACGTGAGGCATTAAAAAAATTCAGTACAATATTTGCACTTCTATATATACCCTATATTTCCGATGGAGTGAAAATTTTTGTGAGAGAAAGTCTCATACCGCCCCTACTGACGGGTTAAGAAATTCATACCATAAATTGGAGCTTAGGCTGGAAGAACTTTAAATCAGACTCATTAAAAATAAGTCAACTAATATTCACCATCTCCGCTAGCACTGGTAGTATAATGTTTGCAACAGCGACATTAGCTGTAAGTTCTGTTACCGTTTCTGCGAATGTACACACAATCAAGAGTATCATAATTTCATTAAGTCCTTTGAGTCCAGAGAGAGATTCACCAAGCATTGTTGATAATCCCGACTCAGTGCTTCCAGTGGCAATAGCAAAACCACCACCAAGCACAAACAAGAGACTCCAATGCATTTTTTCGTGTATTGTTTTCCACGTCATTAAAGCAGGTGTCGGTTTTGTCGGCCGTTTATTGGGATCTCTGTCAAAAGCGTGTAAAAAATCCAATTTTGAAGGAATGATGAAGAGAAGAATTGTGAGGCCAATTGCAGCTGTTGAGTCTTTTACTGGTCTGAAATACAGAAGAAGAATATTCTCTAAATTGGAGTTGAGCAACTTATTTGTCTCACAAGTATGAGAATAACAATAACAATGATAATATGAAAAATATTTGGATATGGTGGATAAAATTTCTTACAAATTTGTAATGTACGATGGCCACCCTCTGATAAATCCTGGTTTTCTAAAAAACCACAGAAGCACCACAGCAACGAATAGAAAACCCACAATTGATTCGAACCACGTTATTGGTCCTAGTTCTTTATATCTCTTATCAATGACCGAAGCAGCAACTTTTTCACCCTGAACTCCTATGTTTATGGCCATTGCGTCTTTACTACTGGGTCTGAAGAGCCCCATATACATTATCTGTAGCCATAGCCATGTAAGAAGACCCATTATGAGCATCGCTGGCACCGCATACAACATCCAAGAAGCGAAATTTATACCTGGGCTGTCTTCAAAACGCCTATAGGAAAGAAATAATTCATCGTTTGGGAAGGTCAATTAATGAGATAAAAAAAACCCAAATGAATAACATGAACCTAATATTCAGACGAAGAAATATTTTATGTCAGCCGTTTTCATTTGGTCTACAAGAAAATAAGGAAATATCACTTACTCTTCATAAATTCCCTTAAGGGTCAAGTTTGTCCCACTCCCAACGAGTGTGCCTATCCCGCCTATACTGGAGGCGTAAGCAGCTGACAAGTAATAAACCATGGTTGTATGTGTTGGTCGCTTCGGTCTGAAGATGACATTAACAAGCATGAATTTCTTTCACATCTCTTTTTTCACATAATTTACCTCTCTACACTCTCTCCTTCTACAAGGTTGTCCTCTTCGAACATGTTTCCGAGCCCTTGCTAATCATTCGTAGATGTTGACAAGTAAAAAAATGAATAAGTTCATCAATTCAATATGATAATTGAGAATGGAATTGGAATACTGATAATAAATGGAATACTGATAATAAATGTAACAATAATAATAATAGTAGGAGTACTAGAAAGGTAAATATTAAGAAAGAGGGCCCCACCACCGCTCCGATCGTTAAATTTTCAGAAACATCGGTGGTGGGGCCCTCTTTCTTAATATTTACCAAAAATATATTTATATTCAACTATACAAGCCTTGGATAAGAGATTCAGTTTGGACTATGCTTAAAAGTTGTGACGTGGCTACGTCTATGATTTCAATCTGGGGGGTTATTTTGGGAAACGGTCCTTATGTGCAGCGCCATCTATCGGATTTCTACAAAATTTGAGACATTTCGAGGCAATTTGAGAAGTTTCTTGAAATTTCGAAAAAATCCAAGGAGTTTCTAGAAAATGCGAGGGAATTCAAGAAGTTTCTAGAAAATTCGAGAAGTCCCCCAAAGTAGGTAGCCAAGGTTATCGGATCAAAATGGCGATTATGCCAAAATTATCTGCTTTTTATCTGGTTTAATGCTGCGCAAACCAAAAAAAATCTGTTTCTTTTTTTTTTGCGAAAAAAATCCATTTTAAGAAATTGGCCGTCAAGCTAGGTGGTCAAATGGCACAATCGAAATCGATGAGTGGTAAAAAGTAACGGTCTATTAATCTGCTCAATTTCTGCGACAACCAAAATTTGCGAGCGCAAAATTCCTAATGAATGTTAGATGTGAGTAGATAATTCCTAATGAGTGTTAGATGGGAGCAGATAATTCCTGATGAGCCGTGGAAAGGAACAGAATTTTCTTAATAACTGTAGGAACTGAGCAGAAAATTCATTATCAGTATTAGAAAAGAGTAAAAATTGATTAATCAAGGTTGAACAAGAGCACAAAATTATTGAGTGTTGAATGAGAGCAGATAATTCCTGATGAGTTTTAGGGAGGAGCAGAAATTTTTTAATCAATGTAGGAGCGGAGCAGAAAATTCATAAGTAATAGAGAAGAGCAAAAAATTTTTAATGAGGGTTGAATGAGGGCAGATAATTCCCGATGAATTTGAGAGAGGGTTAGAATTTTTTAAATTAATGTCGGATGAGAATGGAAAATTCACGCTTATGAGGCATTCCACGCTATTTCAATACGAAAAAAATTTTTTTAAATAGATTTTGATATAAATTGAGTGTGTGTAGAAAAATCAATAAAATCTCGCTAAATGTAAGAAAAAAGCAAAAAAAATTTTTGTTGTTGAAGTTATACAGAACATAAAATTGGAGGTGTTACTGGGTAAGTAATTGATTATAACACCATAACTCGGTAAATATTCGTTGTATCGAAAAAATGGAAAAGTACTTTTTTATTGCAAAAGTATAATATATTTATGGAAGAATTTTGTTTTTGTCAGAAATTGCAATTTACAATGAATTTGTTTATGAAAAAACATTGAAAATGGTAAAAAACAAAAATACAACTCGCTAAAAAACTGGAAAAAATATATGTAATAGAGTGCTTATCACAGAATGCGCTGTTAAATTTTCCTGGGGTATTTCAATATAGGGCCTGAGATATTAATTATTTAATGACGTTGCATCGATCCAAGTGGAGCAATGAGCACGCTGCGCTGAGCGACTTGTTGTTGAGAGTCTGCGGTATTTTGCGGATGCTCCGACTAATTGTAGAATAAATATGTAATTGATTGTTGACATGTGAATTCATTCTCTTTTTCTATGCGAAATGGTGGGAGGAAAATGGAAGCAATAATAATTTATTAAAAATAGAAATGTGAAAAAAAACTACATTCATGTTTTACAGAGTGGCGGCATGCATTTCAGAAAGTTACTTTACAATGCTTCGAATCACGAATTCGTCGTCCAGGGAATAATAATTATGACGAATTTGTGTAATGATTTGAAAGCTCTTAAACTTCATGATTTCATTGCTAAAAGCCAAAATGTTTTTTTGAACCTGAAACCAGGTGAGTTTATCATTCTTAGTAACAGGGAATAATAAATTTTACATTTCAGACTGAGTATTATTAATCGGTAAAAAACAATGAAATTGCCGAGTCCCAACGTTGGGTGAAGAATTTTCAAATCGAAATTTCAAAGCCTGTTCTTCTAGTTCATGTTATTCGTTCGTACAAAAGATCGTTTGAATAGAAGTCATTGATGCTTTGGCAAATTCATACAATTCTCATGGGGTTGTGATTTGATTATTACGAGACGTTGCAAAGAAATGCCATTCAGCATCCACCCCAAAATCCGCTTGATGATAAACCAGATTTATGAAATTTTTTCTATTTTTATACTGGGAACTGGCACCAGTAGAGAAGTGGAAAATTTTTTCAACACAATATTTTTTTTTCAAAATGTTAATGATTTTTTTGAGGAATAAATGGACAGCTACTGTATCGTGGATAGAGGACTCAGAAATCACTACAAAACTATCGTGTTTCAATTCAGTAGCATCTTGATAGGCAACTAACGGGTGAATAGTTCCTTGATCTTTCGCCCAGTAATAGCCTTGAACACCATCCTGAATTAAAAATGGATATTTTTCAGCAAAATCGCTAAGAATGATAAACTCACCTGGTTTCAGGTTCAGTTTACACTGAGTCAAAAAAGCTTTTTGGCTTTTAGCAATGAAACCATGAAGTTTAAGAGCTTTCAAACCATTACACAAATTCGTTATAAAAGAATCAGCATCTTCGAAAAAATCAATTCTTCGAATAAATTCAGAACGGTCAGTAGCAGTCCAAGTCATGCACGTCACAGATTCAATGGAATTTACGTCGCAAATCTCTTCTAAATGATTTTTTATACAAGTGTCACCTGGACATTCAGAGCAGTCACCAAGGTGGCGAGGTGAGGTTCGATTTTCACACATCATGCTCCTCAGAACGTCTGAATAATCCTTCGGAAATTGATACTCATCGAACGAGTCCGGTAATTCGAAAGCTTTTATCCCTTACAATTCCAATTTAACATTCTGATGGATTTTACAAACACAAACCGAATAATTTTTTGTAGGGTTTCTCGGACACCTCCAACTTTAACCGAAAGGCAATCTTTTTTACCGGGCATAATGCGACTAATGTCTTCAGTTCTGTAAAATTCTTTCACTAATTGTTTTGTAGTCATACTTACCGAAGATCTGCGTGTTTTTCTCGGATCTGCGCGTTTTTCAATGCGCTACTCTTTTGTTGTTATCCTTGACAAGTCGTGAGTCATAATGAATCACGTGACAATTTTCAATAAACTTAAACAATAATACCCTTATAAGGTGTTAGAATTCTGCAATTGATAAAATTTAAAAGGACGGCATGCTGAGAAAACAATGCATTTCACTGGGAGCTTACTTGTGGCTCTACACAGCGCGGTCCGTCAACTTAGTTCGATGCGGCCTCAGGAAATAATTAATATCTTAGGCCCTATATTGAAACACCCGATGAAAATTTAACAGCGCATTTTCTAATAAGCACTTTATTACATGTATTTATTTCCGATCTTTAGCGAGTTGTATTTTCATTTTCTATCATTTTTAATTACTTTTTATAAACAAAGTCATTGTAAATTGCAATTTTTGGCAAAAACAAAATTCTCTCATAAATAGATCACACTTTTGGAGTAAAAAGTAGTTTTCTGTTTTTTCGATACAACGAATAGTTACCGAGTTATGACGCTATGTACAATTACCTACATGATGACGCAGCGAATTTTGTTTGTTGCATAACTTATACAAAAAAAATTTTTTTCATTGTCCTCGCGTCTACAGATATTTCTGGACCTCTTCTGCAACATATTTGAAACTCAGGGAGAAATAATTTTTGGCGTATTGAAATATCGTGGAATGCCTCATGACTAACAAACAAAATTATATGTCAAAATATGTCGCTTTTTCGAAAAAAGTCTATTGATTTTCTTTGAAACTCTACAAGAATTCTATGACATTTTTATTAAAATTCTATTGAAAAATTTCATTTTTTGCACCAATTCTATTAAAAATTCTGTAATTTTCCTTTGCATTTGTTAATAGATATTTGTTCATAGAATAAAGCCGATGAAGGTCGATTTTTTCATATAACTTATTGTTTTGGAATTCTTCTTATGTGAATTTTTGGGAATTTTCCAAGTTTCATTTTCTGATTTTATTATGAGGAACAAATAGAATGAAAAAAATTTGAAAAAAAAAATTGATTGCATTTGATATGATAAAATGGAAAAAATCATGATATTAAATTTAAAAAATATAATAAAAAAGGTCTTCCTGCCTCATTTTTCCTAAAAACATGAGTATTTAGTAATCTGACAGAGTAATCGATTAAGTTTCAGTTCTGATTACGAATTATTCAATCAAAGAAGTCTTGAGTTGAATTAACGTGTAATCAAATCAAATAATTTTGGAGTCAGATTGAAGCTTAATTAATTAATCAAATAATTTCTCTGTCAAATCAACGCTTAGTGAAATAATTAAATAATTTTTTAAATTGATTGACGATTGATGGAGTAATTCATCAATACAACTTGCGATTGATGAATTATTAAGTAATCAAGCACATTTAGGTTATGATTATTGATTGATTAAATATTCAATAGTTTTCAGTGCTGATTGCCGATTTGTCTTGTAATCAAAAAATCAGTGGAGAGATTAATGGATTACAAATATAATCATCAAACTGAGCTGTAATCATTAATGTAGTAAAGTAATGATTAATACCGACCCCTGCTTGAGAGAGGGTTAGAATCTTTTAAATCAATGTCAGACGAGAGTGGAATATTCCTAACGAGTATTAAATGAGAGCCGATAATTCCTAATGAGTGTTAAATGAGAGTAGATAATTTTTGATGAGTTTAAGAGAAGGGTAGAATTTTTTTTATCAATGTTAGATGAGAGCAGAAAATTCCTGATGAGTTTGAGAGAAGAGTAGAATTTTCTTTATCGATGTTGCACGAG